TTAACAAAAATGTAACTATGAACCCTCTGGCAGGAATCCAAGGTGAAGCTCCGTTACGTTCTGAGCCCTAATTTTGCATGGGGCTAGGCATCTTCTCAGCATTCCGATAAAATCTAGGATTGGGATAATCTAAAACCATACCTGGATCAACATAGTGTTTGCAGCAGTAAGTTTTGCCTTTATACTCTTGCAACACACCATCAGTTCCCCAAGCAGGATTATCTTCAATATCGCATAGTTTATCTTCGTCAAGGGTATCTAAACAACACGTTTTGCAGAAATAAGTTTAGCAGTTTGAAAACAGATGGACATAGCACCTGGCAGAAACGTTTAATCAATTCTGAAGCATTACGGCCGCGAAGATAAAACGCCTGTCAATTCAAAAGATTCATGCATGACTCGGCCAGTGAAAAACATCATCGTTTATAAACTAAGGAGAAGTAAGGAAAGGATCGAGGATCTAAACTTTATTTGCTATGAGATATGTACACGGGCCATTAAATGCTGTGCACATGTATCGTCCCCAGCCTGCCATTAGAAAAAGCTTTCAATCAATGTAGATTGCAAATCAATTACTTACCAATACTTATCCAATTATTGTAATAATCAGCAATTGGTACCCAATACCCAGTAACGTATTTGACAGATCCTCCGGTCACATTTTTGCCATCACGGCATATCTCCATAGAGCTACACAGGCGTAATCCATCATTGAGGCAAGCATCCATTCCGTCCTGGTATGTCATTGTCATTGATATTTCTTTTATCACAATAGCATGGGCTAAATATCAAAAGTGTATGAAGGGTATTTTAAAGTAATACGATGCTTTAATTGGTCATGAAATGGTGTCTGTCTGTCTGTCTGTCTGTCTGGGCCCTGGCTGGCTCTCACGCATCTCATCATTCTCGTACCCAGAGCCCTTCTTACGACGAGGGGCTCTGGCCAAATCCAAAACCGGATACCATAAAAACATGGTAAAAGAATATATCCGGTATTAGAACAATAACCTTCGTTGTAGCCAACCAGATGCCAGTTTGATATGGATTTGGCCAGAGCCCCTCGTCGCGCTCCGTTGACCGCGCGTAAGAAGGGCTCTGGGTACGAGAATGGCATCTCATCACATGCCCTTATTATGATTCAGTCTTACCAAGTAAACTGTCTAATTAAGAGATGACGGCCGCCTTTCGTCCTACAGAGATGTCAGTCTTATATAAATAACTCTCTTAGAGATCTCTGTAAGGTTTTCGCTCAAAGAAATCTTAAACTACACACTTACATGGTAATCGTTGTCTAAACAACATCTCTGTGCCAAGCCCTGATTCTGGACATTCTTTTTCTTCATTCAAATTTTCCCCATCACAGCTATCCGAATGAAACCACCATCCTCCATCAGATGGCTTCACACACGGAGAGGAGCTTCCTTTTGGAGCAACAAACACCAATGGTCCAACACCATGAGTATTTAAGAAACCTTGAGGCATCATCCCAGAACGGCTGGAGACATCAAGTAGAGAACTTGAACGGACTTCAAAATGATTATAGAGATCATAGATAACAGAAGTTGAGTTGATGTGAACTATTGCCAACATTTGTCCTGCACCGAGTCGATTGATATTTTCATTTCCGAGCCAGAATTCACCATCGACAGGTCCAAAGTTCTTGTTATACGCTCCCACACTAACTGGGAACACAGTTTGTCCCTTGTTTCTCCTTTGAATCACCGTCCAACCCCCACCGTTCGTGGTGAAATCACAGTATACTGTTATTTCCTTACCACCGCGTGGGTAGATTACATACTTGCCGTTTTCGCGTTCACCCAGATACATGTGGTCAAGGCATGATTCTACATGAAGAAAGACGTTAAGGTTGTGGAAACCGGATGAAGAAGTTTCCGTGCAACATTTTGTACTACGTACTATTTATATTTAAAATATTAGATATGATAAAACACGACTACAAGTGTTTTGAATAGGTTCACATACGACTACAGTAGATGCCGTCTCATTAGTATTCTTTATATAAGGAATACTAATTAGAATGGACTTTTATATAAAGAATACTAATGAAGATGAGTTACTGACGTGACATATTATGGTTGACATGATTTGCCAATAACCTTATAAATGATTAATGAGTGTTTGAAGTACTATTTAAAACACGAGCACTTTATCAGATAATAAAAAACTCAATATTTCATGAAGAAAAGGGAAAGGAAATCAGTATCGTGTCGATGCTTTTATATGTGATAAAAAATCATAGCTTATTTTTATATATATAAGATAAGATATAAGATGGTTTAATGAACTCTTTGCAGTTAAAGACAACTGAATTACTGAGTTATTTACATAGTATTATAATAAATTTACACTAAAGTTGATTAACTAAAAAAATTACTTAATCGCCACTGTACTCATGTCATGAGATGGGTCGTTTTTTAAGCCATTTAAAACATTCGCAGTCCTTACTTTATCAGCTATAAAACACTCGTGCTGCGCTCTCGTGTTTTGATAAAGCACCCCTGCTCATGTTTTAAATAGTACAGGAGGCGACAGCCAAATCGTGCTATTTCGTACATAGCGGCCCCAGATCTCTAGGAAAAAGTTGTGAACTGATAAAGGGGATCCTGTGTGTGCAAAGTTAGTTCAGGTTCCCTATGGTATAAAAATAAGGGATGACCCTAACTAGACCTTAGGGACCGGTCATAAAGTAACTGCTAGGGTGGACTGGAGTGATTTGGGATGGGCCATGGAAAATCTTTCGACAGTTGCGATGGGCCGCCAATCTTTTTGTATGTCCACGGTTGGGCCACCAAACAAAAACCCATGCATGTCTACTTCAAAAAATAAAGATATTAATAATCAAAGTAAACAAAACTATCCAAATTATCAAATGCAAATGATGCTATTGAAGCCAGTACATTGTTTATACAACAACAACAAGTGGTCGAGAGCAGCTCATCCAGTATGAATTTGCCGGTTGGTCAAGCTTGGTGGAATTATGTATGTCAATACAGTGCCGTGTACATTTTACAATGTTTATACCTGCAAGTTTTTTTATTATAAAAGTGTATTTTCCCAATTTAGATTGCGTGGGTCATGAAAATTTTTTTGTAAGATTAGATGAGCTTTGAAATTTTTATCTACATCCTAAGATGGGTCACCGAACTTATTGGCAAAATTTGTGATTTACCTCCAGCCCACCCTAGCAGTTACTTTATGACCAGTCCCTTAAGGATAAAATAAAACCTGATAAAGCTATCCAGTATATAAATAAATCTTAGTTTCTAAACCAACCTCTGAGTAAAGGAACGATTGTCTTTATAATTGCTGGTTCTCTCCCTACAGGGATAACTTTTGATTCCCTCCAAGATACATCATTGAAGCCACTATAACCAAGCATCGTAATCGGTTGCCTCATTTCCAACACATTGCTAATATGCAGTTCTTCACCAAAGGTTGCATGCATTGCAGGAATAGCCGAGCCAAAATGCGCTCCTGGACTATCGCTAATCACCATTAACATTATTCGTTCAATGCGAATCTTGTTCAGGTTTTCTTCGAGTTTATCGCCACATGTGGCATCATCCATAACGGCACAACTAAATTTCTTTACAAATGAGCCTGCAAAAAAATCGGAAGAGGTTTCTTTAAAAATTTTTTTTATAAAATTCGGTGATAAAATATCATCATCAACTCTCGAACTCGTTTGACCGGGGGTTGTCTGAAACTCAAAGCAGTGAGATTGTACTGGACATATTACTCACCTGTGAGTGCATTCAAGACGAGAAAATGCATTGCACCACCACCACCAAACTTATATTCATAGTCATTGACAAAAATACTCGAGTAACTGATACCAAGATCTTGCATGGTGTTCACATTGCGAGAAACGAGTGACAAATCCACAACTAGGTGTCGCCCTAAATTTCAACCAAACAATGTGAGAATTACAAGCAGAGGAAAAGCAGGGCTCGATTAAACAATGTGAGAATTACAAGCAGAGGAAAAGCAGGGCTCGATTAAGTTGGAACCGCTGGAGTCGATGGTACCGATACAAGTTTGTTGCAAACACATTTTGTAAAACTTTTAGAAACAGAAGCTATCGAATAAAATTTAGATTTCTTAGTCTATTAAAACTTTTGTTAATTGGCATACTTCCAAATTAAAATCACTAGAGTACAACTCCTTGTTTTCGATCATTGTTCATGAAAGTCAGGTAACCAATTTCAATCGTTGAAATTTCTAAAGTCGTTGATGGAAAGTTAAGATGTCAATTATCGACCAATAAATTTATTAAGTGTTATTGATGGGGTGGAGAAAATGCATAAAGTCGGACAAAAGTAATTTATGGCCTATCATATCTTCATTTCAAATAATTTTTGTGGTCCCAGGCACACAACAAAGTTATCGACCACTGATTACAAGAGTTTGGGCCGGCTGTACGAATGGTGGACATCCATTGGATAATGGATAGTGAATCTTCAACATTTGTTCATTTTTCAAATTTTTCAACAACCAGATTAAACTTTAGCATTTATAAATTAAAGTTTCTCGGTATATATTGAGGTCTATAACCGTAGTTTTATAGCTGTTCAAGCATATTGGAAAAACCCCTAGCCAGCCTTCGTACGACCGGTCCTGTTTTCTGGCAAGCCTTGGGAAAGGTATTGATTGACAGAGCGATCGACCTGACTCTGCTGAATACTTACTCAATCCTTCACCCTGGTTCATGTCATAAGATGACACACCACAACTGTGCGGAGACACTTCATCCAATTGTAAAGGAGGGCAGACATATTTTGCATTTTTACATAATTCCCCAGCAATACAGGTAGTTTTTGACCAATGACAGTTTGGATCTACATGAAACGAAAAGTATTCAAGGGCGGTGATCATTGTGGACATCATGATGGTCGTGCTGAAGGTGATGATGGTCATCACTGTCATCACTACAACCATTGTCACCATGATCACCATGATCACCATCGTCCATCATCATATACTACCATCAACATCATCATTACCATCATCAGAACTACTATCACCATCATCATTAAACATTATAATCACTATCATCATCATAACTATTGTCATCATCATCACTACCATCATCATAACTAGCATCACCATCATCACTACTATCACCATCATCATACCATCATCATCACTACCGTCACCATAACTACAATCACCATCATCACTACCATCATCACCATCATCATCATCACCATCATCATCACTACCATTATCATCATTACCATCATCATCATTACCATCATCATCACTACCATCATCACCATCATCATCATCACCATCATCATCACTACCATCATCATCATTACCATCATCATCATTACCATCATCATCACTACCATCACCATAACTACAATCACCATCATCACTACCATCATTACCATCTTCATCATTACCATCATCATCATTACATCACCATAACTACAATCACCATCATCACTACCATCATTACCATCTTCATCATTACCATCATCATTACCATCATCACTACCATCATCACTACCATCATCATCACTACCATCATCATCACTACATCATCATCACTACCATCATCATCATTACCATCATCATCATTACCATCATCATTACATCATCATCACTACCATCATTACCATCATCATCATTACCATCATCATCATTACCATCATCACTACCATCATTACCATCATCATCATTACCATCATCATCATTACCATCATCACTACCATCATCATCACTACCATCATCATCATTACCATCATCACTACCATCATCATCATTACTATCATCATCATTACCATCATCATCATTACCATCATCACTACCATCATCATCATTACCATCATCATCACTACCATCATCACTATCATCATTACCATCATCATCATTACCATCATCATCATTACCATCATCATCACTACCATCATCACTATCATCATTACCATCATCATCATTACCATCATCGTCATTACCATCATCATCACTACCATCACCATAACTACAATCACCATCATCACTACCATCATCACTATCATCAAACATACCTGACCATTTCATCAGTGGCGATGGCCTGCGTACACTGATGGAACCAGGGACAGCGTATTTTATTAAATCAGGCCATCCCAGTAGATTTCCAACGTAAGTGTTTCCCCCTATTGATGTTATAGTGCCACTACTCAGCGCCTTGTCCCAAATATTGAGATGAGCCATAGAACCGATAAAACTCCATCCTTTATTAGAAACAGTAGGAGAATCACCAATATACATCTCATTGTGACCATAGATAGATGTGGCTGATGTTTTTACAAAACTCTGCTGTAATTGAATCCCATTATGGTACATTTTGAATGTTTTATAATCTTGAACAGCGCATAAATGGAACCACTTGTTGTCAGCGTACGTTTCAGTCCTAGTCCTACATAAAAAATGAACAAGGCTTGTTTGTAACGTAAACAACGGCGGTTTGATGTGATACATGTTTTTCATATGCAACCAGCTGTTTGCATTACAAAGATGTCAAAACAGTAAATGATTGGATGGCATGGAGAACTGTGCGATTCCTAAACTAATGACAGGATAATGGAAAATTCCAATCACCGAATCATGACTGGATCCCATTCATGACACTCCCATTACATACACTAGTGCGCGTAACTAGTTATTCATTTGTATTGGGTTTACAAGATTATAGAGCATACAGTACGCGATCATGGATAGTGTTTAAATAGTACATGATGCGACGTAAATTTGAACATCTCTCATTCCTTACACCAAACCTACAAAACTGGGCTCAGTAGTAGTGCGCAAACCACATTAAAGCGAATATGATCAACTTACCAAACCAAATGATTCACTTTCCTCCCGGATATTGCAAAGGACTTTTGATCGGAACGAAGGTACAAATGAAAATTACTATATCTGTCTGATGGCACTCCAATGAAGACCACACTGTGATAGTTATCGGAACCCGGGGGAAATTTAATCCATACGCATACAGTTAAATACCACGTTCTGTGCAAAACAAAATTGTTCATTTTCATCCGAGCTCTCGTGTATGTCGAAGGGAACTCTAGGTAATAGTTGTGATCTACAAATACGGAATAGTGACAGCAATAAGAATGGTGTCTAAAATTTTAACAAGGGGGGATCTTCGAGGGAGGTCTTCCGGCATTATCCGCCTTTATTTATACGCCCCTGAAACACGATTTCCAATAAATTAACATTTCAAGTGATGTTATAAAATGTATAGTTTTATCATATGAAGACACGAAAATCACTACAGGATTCATTAGTCAGGGTACCATCCAGAATGTAAGGAAAATTATCATCACTAGTCTGATCTTGAAAAATTGAATAGAAATACATTGGAATAACTGTATTTTGATTGTACAATAATGCCAAATTTTAATAAACTGACAATGTGGTATGGTACAGTATGGCATGTTGTGATAGTATAGTATGGTGTGGTATGGTATGGTATGGTGTGGTACTGTATGGTATGGTATGGCATTGTATGGTATTGTATGGTATGGTATTGTATGGTATTGTATGGTATGGTATGGTGTGATATAGTGTGGTATGGTGTGGTACTGTATGGTATGGTATGCCATGATAGTTATAATATACCTGAGCAAGGTTTGGTTTTATATACATCAGAGCTAACACAACTACGAGGTGCTGTCGAACTGTTGCTACAAGGACACCGAAATAATCCACCTTGACAGACGCCACTCTCTTCATTGCAATCTGTTTGTTCCCAACGACAACCTCCACCTTAATAAAAACAGTTTATCAGTTTCACAGCAACAAACGACTGCAATCAAAATGGAAGCATTCTTCTCACATGTGAGTGAAGCGAAATTATATTCAAAGAACTGCCTGGTCACAGTGATAAAGGCACATGAGATTAATTAAACCACCAACACCACGCCGTGATGAAACAATCAAGGAAGAAAGAATGTACATATACCTTCCCATTTCATTACAGGATTGTCACGTAAAGCTGCATTACCATGCACATATTTCTTGATATCGACCCAGGCAAGGAAATTTCCACGTTCAGTACCAGGCCCTGAATACATCTGCTCTACTTCCTGCACGCTGATGAGATGGTCCCAAATATTAAACAATGTCACATCACCTGGGAAGATATAAAGTATAGACCCATTGCACATGACGTCACAGCGCCGGTGACGATGCATCTGGAGGACAAATTAGCAATCTACGCATAATATAATTTTTGTAAACACAGCAAATTTTGTAAAAGTTTACAATAATTTTGTATTAAGATGGTTAATTTTTGCGCTGTATGTGGTTGTTGTACCCGAACAGATATTGTTAGGGAGCGTCTGGAGGACACTCTAAGGATTTGTGACGTCAGTGCAATGGGTCTATATACCGTAGTGCTGTCATCAAGTACGTGCAGGTAAGTGGGGTATGTCAATCATCCTTGCTCGCAGCTGAGAGCTAAACTGAGTTACGAAGGACGCAGCTCAACCTGATGAGTCGAAGATGTTCTTATCACATTCTTGCAAGCCCCCCCCCCCCCTTTAATTAATGTTGAAATGCTACTACATTTCATTTCATAATACAATAAATACAGTTATTTGTTCTATCGAGTGAGAAATCCTGATAATATTGGAGTAACTCTGGTACGTAGATAAGGGAATATTACCAGCTGAAATTATACAGTACGTGTATGGTAAAGGTAAATGTAACCTCGTTCAACAAACCACTATGTTTCAGAACCATCCTCAGAGATACGAAAAACTAGTTTCATGTTATTCTAACACTTAATCGACCAACGAAAAATTCGTTGGATGTACCAAATTTCATGAAACACCAAATACGAGAACTGCATACATCTCTGACATGGAACTGTTCCCACAAATATAACCAGGCTCCTGGTGTACCTACCAAAAAATACGTCATTGTGCCCAAAACCACCTCCATAGTTATCTTGATCACGGCCAATGACAAGTAAACCGTTTGGTTCCAAGGGTTTAAACTTATCATTTACAATAGCACCCAAAAACTCTCCGTTGATGTACATTGTAGCAGTGTTTGCAAACACGTCTATAGCACAACAGATATGAAACCATTTGCCAAAAATGCCACCAGCACGGGTGTACCTGAAACATAACAATTTGCTTTGTCTGCTGGGAAACGTACATGAGTGACTGTGTTCATATCATTTTACTCTACTTTAATATTCATCAACGGTGGGACAACAGTCGCAATATATTTTTTGCTGTATATAATTAAAAAATGCACCTTGTACTACAACTTTAATAGTATCTGTTTAGGTTCATTTTTTGTTTGTATTTTGATGTCGTAAAATACATCTACCGGTATATTATAGGTCAAAATCAGCAAAAAATGTCCATCCCGCGGTCAGGTGGGATAATAAAGCTTCCATGTGGAAAATGCTATCCCACTTGCCTATCTATAGCGCAAGGTGAGATCTTAAGCAAAAGTATGGAACTCTCTTGATGAAACAAAAAAAGCTCTATCTCTTTCCTCATTAAAAAAAATTTAAAAGCTAATTTTATCAATGATTATTGATAAATTATGGCTAATTTGATCAATTTTCGTAAATTGTTGATTTTCTATGTAATGATTAACAAAATCTCCTAAATGATGTGCATGCAGCGGTTTAATTTCGATTTAATGTGTTTATATTATACAAATCTATCCAAAAAAAATAAATTGTGCATCTTTCACTATAATGATCGATCTGGCTGCCCGACATCTAGCCCTTTACGGTTATTACGGGTAGCCAGTACCTATATCTGATATTTATACTACGTGAATTGTAATAGTGTAATAGTTATTTTCTTTGGGGTACAAATAAATTGTTGTTGTTGTTATCTAGTCGGACTAAAAGGTTTTCTGTATTAGAGGGTGCCCATAGATATGTCTGTATCACAGAGGAGTCTTTTAAAAGGGAAAAGGTTATACTTTATACACTACTTACTGGTTTCTTATGGCATTTCGATTATGCATATAATAAACAACAAATGCCTCGGGACTGTTTGAAACTTCCTCAAATCCTAACGAGAAATGATTATCAATCCAATCTCGTGAATATGAAAAGACAAAGTAATCACGACTTGTGTAATGATCATTCGCTATCTTGATCCAAACACAAAACGAGAATGATATCGCTGGAGGAAAAGCGTCAGGAATTGGACCAAAGTACAGATCATATGGGCTGTCATGTGAACGCACAACATAATCATAATCTTAATGAAAACAGAAAAATGTTATTATTAGTGTTATTAGTGTTATTATTGTTATTATTATTTGTTTCATATTATTAGCACTGGTGAAGATCCGGGCTTACGGATCGAAAGCTTTGCAGTAATAAATTTACGTGGTACGCGGTTTCCACAAACAAAAGCTATTATAGAAAAATGTTAATAGAATACAAACCAAAGGACACTCTGAAAATGGTTAACATGCACCCTTTCAAGCTGGGAGATGGGAGACCTGGTTTTAATCCTTGCAACTGAGGCAATATTATGACAGACAGCTGTAGATATTAGAGGAATTAAACCCTGTAGACAAATTCATACATTTACTGTACCTGCACAATCACGAACTTCATTTTCACAGTGAAGTTGGTCAGCCAATGACTAGAAAACAAGATGCCCTGTGAGTCTGGGCTAGTGTGGTTAAATCTTGAACGGTCTAGCTGTATAGCCTGCATGGCATGCAGCTGTGCCAGTGTGAATAACTACCTGAAAAATACAAGGAGAACTTTGACTTTTTGAATAAATGCCCTTCATATCTAACTTCCCGATGAAGTCCTCTGTTCAAAACGTCAAAGTTCTCCGGCTCATATTTTTCAGGTAGTTAATTGAACCCTATTCATCCTACCTGTGGTTATAACAATATCAACTAGACATCCATGCTTCCAAGATGAACAGACAAATGTCTCATATGAAAAAAAATCTTCCATTGTTGAGCCAGTACTTTACTTACTAGTTCATAAACATAGTGAGATCCAGTACGACCATAACAAGCTGGCAGAATGTCATCCTCATTGCAATCACTCAGATCCAGCTGTTGACATCCTGATGATGATGATGTCTCGACAGAGATCTCTTCTTCATTATATCCTGTGCAACTAATGTTTCCAAGTGAGAAATATTTAAACCCCTTCTCTCTTGCTTTCTTCGCACAGCTGGTAAAAAAGTAGAAAAGAGATTTATAGTAGGAAAGAAAAGGATAGGGGGGATGTACTAGGGATATGGTGTAAAATAAGGATATAGACACTGGAAAGAGGGGTGATCGAGAGGGGCTGGCATTGATAATTAATAAAAGTCTAGCTTAAATAAAAGCTGATTAACCTGTTCAGCACCATGCACCAGCACTCTCAATCCCCTTGATGAGAAAAATTGTCTTGTTTAAGTATACAATTAGACACACAACATGACTGCTTATTGAAGAATACCATGCACCTAGTAATCATTCACATTTGAAATCATGAGAATTTTCAGACACACGCCATGCATGATCACACAGTTATTCAATGTGGAATTTTGAGGATCATATAGAACTGCGCAAATTCCGGTTATTTTAGCTCCGGCTCCTGCTCTGGCAAGGAAATTTTAAGGAAATTTCATTCTAAAAGTAGAAACAGGCGAAAGTATTTCAGACTTGTAATTTCAGAATTTATTTTATTCCTTTTTGAGCTTTCTCCTTTACTTACCAAATATGTGCTTCGGTGATTGCTTAAAAATATGTTTTGTACAGAAAGTAAAACCGCATATGGCAGTGTGTTATTTTCGCCCAAAATACATCGGGGTCAGCAGATTTTTGTATCAAAAGCAATAGCAATGCGCTTGAAGAATTTTCGAAGCCACAAATCAGATCGGAGCATTAATTAAACTTTATAGGAACTTCAAATCATTCAACTTAATTTTTCCATTGCCAAAAGTTTGTTGAAATATGAAATAATTTTTCATAATTTAAAGTCTCCGGCTCAGGTATACTCCGGCACACAGCTCTATAAGGATCGTCAAGCATAATTAGTAAAATCAATATTGTGTTTAACTTACTCGCAAGCAAGCTCTTCCAATGAAATAATATTCACAAATGAATAATAATGTGGCTTTGTCACTGTGACAGGCAAGCAGCCAACTTTTGAAAGTTTCACATCAGGACACCCTAGACAAACATGTTATTCGTTTATTTCATTTCTAAGTATATAAAACACAGCAAAGAGAAATTGTTTGTCAAGATGGGGTCTGGGGCCATCTGAATTGGTTTCCCCACTTCTCTAGGTACTGATTGCTAAGGCATAAAAAAAAATACCTGTGGTTCCGGTTCCCAACCAACCCTATTTTTTTCTGCCGACCTATTATTTTTCCATCGCAATTGACCATGCGACCCTATTTTCTCTGGGTGGTTGCAGGCTGCTGCCAAAATGGCATGTTATGAAAAAAATATTCAAAAAAAAAATTATTTCCGACCTACCGACCCTAATTTTTCCACAATATGAAACCGGAACCACAGGTATTTTTTTTATGCCTAATTGTTTTAATTCATTTGTTTGTTGTTTGTTAGTAATGGAAAATTCTCCATATTAAAATATCTGGTAAGAAACAGTAATCACATGAAAAGACTCCTGTACAAACTACAACCTTTTTTGTCCACTTTTTTACTCTAAGCAACAAATTCTTCTCCCTCTCCCTCGCACACATTCCCTCATTGGGGGCAGGGAGGATCTTTTCTCAAACCCATTTTCACAAACTTACAATTTGTCGCTTCACAAGTGTCCCCGGTATTATTGCACTGACAGTGGCATTCATACAAGCTGTTTTGAGGAACACACAATCCACCATTCTGACAAACTTCAGGACAGCCATAATTGGACACTATTTAAAATTATTCAAAATTAATACTTATAGTTATTTATAATCTGTATATATAGTCTCAATTATGTAGTCAGAACATATGCAGCTTCAGCCCTTATTATACTGGTCAGACACCTTCAAGAACCAATACACACGGTAATCGCTAGATAGTATACTTCAAAAATAATGTTTCCGTTTTTATAACGTAGAAAAAACTATTCTAACGCAAAACTAAACCCTAACCCTAATACTAACCCTCGCCCTAACCTAACCCTAACTTATTTTAATTATTTAAAAAATTGATATAAAAACGGAACCATTTTCATGATTGACTCATTGTCTCATTGAGGAGTACGTCACATACCAAGTCACATACATTAAAAATTGAAAGCGTATATGCACAAAAAGTGTACAGAATATGCACTACAAACTATCTTTTATGTTTACCATTGACAATGTATCTTTATAAAATGCAAATTTGGTTCTACTTTCTCCAAAAAACAACAATTTTATAGAAGCACTTTCTTACAGCATGAACAAGAGGTTCCAGATTACAATTATATACCGTACGTCATGTTAGCTCAACTTAAAGACCAAAATTCAACCCAGATGCGCAAGTAATACGAGACCGCAGTTCTAAAATGTCAAATAAACTGAAAATTCTGCAAATTTATTGACAACTTTATGTTTATATTATGGGTAGTTTGGAATCTCTGGTATCCACTCTATCAACTCTAACACAAAATTATTCTAGAAAGTAAATGTGCACCAAGGACTGTTTTTAAAAATATGGCATGCGCACAAAAATGTTAGGTTTGAAGGTGATAGCAACTTGTTCCAAACTTGTCACAACTGGGAACAAGCCTGAGTGCAAACACATCAATCCTCGGATAATGCTCTTACTATACCTATTTCGTTTTCCACGCTATTTCCTGCACTAAACACTTTCCACTGTGCCCAAACGCCAGTTAAATCAAATACTGCAACCGAGGTTCCAACATTTCCATAATTCAAACGCATATTTGTACCATTCAATTCTATGAACTTTTCTCGCCAATCCCATATTTGACTGGCATTATACCGATCACATTCTGCCATATTAACTCGATCAGAGGCCTTTGCACCTTTTGGGGCGCTCAAGCATGCAAGGGTCAGGATGTTTTGTAGTTGAGAAAACGGTGTCCATTGCCAGGCTTGTTGGAGCGAATATATATCGCATGATTTTACAGTTACATAACTCGTTTCAATGGCCAAGCATTTATTGTGAGATGGGTTTTTGATCAAGAATTCATTGCTGAGCAGAGCTACAACAACGAACATTAAATTAGCACCTACAAATTAGGTCCTTAACAAATAGCAATTGAAAGATGAGATAATTGGACTCTAACGAAAGCAGTGATAGAACTATAGTATCCAGTGTGAATAAAGGTGCATGGTTTGACTGTTTGGTCACAATGATTTAAGTGAGTTAACTCTTAACAGTTCTGGGTAGAAGATTATAAACAATTAAAAAGTTTCCAATGCCCAGGTAAAACATAGGGGTTCCTTACAAATTGTTTTTAAACATGGAAATAGTTTTCTAGAACTCTTGTCTGCGTACAGAAGTTTTATTTGAAATACACTGACGTGCAGAAATACATAAACCGAACTAAACAGCGGGGTAAATTTTGGGTAAAAAGGTTACAGCCAGCTTTGAACAACTGGCCCAAGGTCTACCAGCAGGCACAGTTATTTATAGATTACTTTTTGCGGTGTTACATCATGCATTATGAAAATACGTTGTTATGCAGGACGGGCACCGAACTATAACGTTGATGTAAATAGCAAAATACATACTCAATACAGGCTTCAATTGAAGTAAAAAGGCGACGAATAAGCACACTGAGACATCCATCCTTTAGACTTCAGAAAGCTTCAAAAGAAATAGACAACAAGTAAACGAAACATACCTGCAGGGAAACTTCTGGCAATGCCCCCCCCCCCCCC